ATAGATAGAAACAAACACAGAGAGGCAGTCAAAATGGAAAGACAAAAAAAATGTCCCAAATAAAAGAACAGAACAAAGATCCCAGAAAACAAAACAAAACAAAAAAAACTAAACAAAATGGAGACAAGCAATCTACCAGACCCAGAATTCCAAACATTGGTTATAAGGATGCTCAATAATCTCAAGGAGAACTTCAACAAAGTAATAGGAAACATAAAAATGCAGATACAGAACATTGAAAAAGTCAGAAATAAAGAACACGAAAACGGAAATGAAGAATACATGACAGGGAATCAATGGTAGATTAGATGAAGCAGAGAATCAAATCAGCAATTGAGAAAATAAGGTAGCAGAAAACACCCAATCAGACCAAAAAAGAAAAAACAATTCAGAAAAATTAGGACAGTTTCAGGGACCTCTTGGACAACATCAAGTGTACCAACATTCACATTACAGGGGTACCAGAAGGAGAAGAGAGAGAACACGAAATTGCAAACCTATTTGAAGAAATAATGATGGAAAACTTCCCTAGCCTTGTGAAGGAAATAGATATACAAGCTCAGGAAGTGCAGAGAGTCCCAAACAAGAGGAACCCAAACAGGCCTACATCAAGACACATCAAAATTAAGATACCAAAGCTTAAAGACAAAGAGAGAACCTTAAAAGCAGCATGAGAAAAGCAGGAAGTTACCTACAAGGGAGCCCCCATAAGAAGGTCAGCTGATTTCTCAACAGAAACTTTACAGGCCAGAAGGGATTGGCAGAAAATATTCAAAGTGATGAAAAGCAAGCACCTACAACCAAGATTATTTTACCCAGCAAAGCTATCATTTAGAATCAAAGGACAAATAAAGAGCTTCCCATACAAGAAAAGGCTAAAGGAGTTCATCCCCAACAAACCAGTATTACAAGGAATTTTAGAGGGACTTCTTAAGATGAAAAAAATAAAATTAAATATGAATTATAAAATGGCAATAACTACATATCTATCAACAATTACTTTAAATGTAAATGGATTAGATGCTCCAATCAGAAGATAGGGTGGCTGAATGGATAAGAAAACAAGACCCTTACATATGCTGCCTACAAGAGACTCACTTCAGATCAAAAGACACACTCAGGCTGAAAGTAAAGGGATGGAAAAAGTTATTTCATGAAAATAGAAACAAACAAACAAAAAAAATGCCTGGGAATCAATACTTAGACCAGACAAAATAGACTTTGAAACAAAGGCTATAAAACAAAAGACAAAGAAGGACCCACTAATCCCACTTTTGGGTGTTTATCCAAAGAAACCCCAAACGCTAATTTGAGAGGACATGTTCATTTATACATTCATTGCAGCATTATTTACAATTGCCAAGATATGAAGGCAATCTGGGTATCCCTGAATGGATGCATAGATAAAGAAGAGGTGGTATTGGTCCGGCCAAGTGGCTTGTTGTTTAAGAGTTGGCTTGGGAGCACAAGCACTGAGCTGCAGGGCCACCGGTTTGGATCCCACATGGGCCAGTGATGCTGCCCTCTACAGCTAAGATGGTGAACAACAGCTCGACCTGGAGCTGGGCTGCCGTGAGTCGCTGGTGATAGCATAGGCTGCAATGAGGCTGCAGTGGGCTGCCGTAAGCTTCTGTGAGAGGCCAGCAGCCAGCATGAGCTGCCGTGAGCCACTGTGAGTGGCCGTACAATGGCTGGCGACCGATTTGCCTTACCCAGGAAGAGCGCAATGATCACAATACCAACATGGGTCAGTGAAGCAACGGCCTCCATAACTAGACTGAAGAACAAAAAGGACAGCAACTTGTCTGTTCCCCTTCTCCGATTCCCCAATGCTGTTCCCTCCCCCAATTCCCCAATGAAAATCTTAAAAAAAAAAAGTAGAGGTGATATATATATATATATATATACACACACACACACACACACACACACACACACACACACACACAATGGAATATTACTTACCCATAAAAAAGAATGAAATCTTGCCATCTGTGTTGACACGGATGGACCTAGAGAGTATTGTGCTGTGTGTAGTAAGTCAGACCGCAAAACACAAATGTTACATGATTTCACTTATAAGTGGAATCTAAAGAACAAAATAAACAAAAAAATGAAACAGAAACAAAACTCATAGATACAGAGAACATTTTGATATGGAGGGGTTTGGGGGTGGGTGAAAAGGGGAAGGGATTAAGAAGTACAAATTAGTTGTTACACAGTACTCATGGGAATATAAAGTAAAGCAGAGGAGAATATAATCAATAATATGGTAATAGCTATGTATAGTTCCAGATGGGTACTGTTGAATAACTATGATGTATACCTGAAATTATAATATTGTATGTTAGCTATATTTTAATAAAAATCTAAAGTAAATAAAGTACAAGGCTTAAAAAAATTACTTCCTGGAATTAGTATTTGGGCATATAAACACTATAATAATTTTCTCATACTTAAATACAATACTTCTTTAGTTATCCATACGTGTGTTTTAAGTATAGGGGCCTCTTTAAGATATCTTCATAACTTGGTTTAAAACTTTTTTTTCCTATATCTTATGCTGAAAGTGGGAAATTCTTCCCCAGAGAAAGGGTATCATGTCCATGAAGTGACAGAGTATTAACAGAAAGTGATTATATGTAAGTTACTCTAAATTGATTTTAATTCCATTATTTAGTCATTACCTATAAAATGCAATATTCAAGTAAACCACTTTGTTTTCATATAATAATTTCAAGTAATTTTTATATGCACTATCAAATAATTTATATTTACTTTCTTGGCATTAAAAACAAACAATTGATTTTAGGGGTCCAAAAGTAAATTTTTAAACTAATATAAACCACACTTGTCTTTCTATGAAGTTAACAGACTTTGAAGACCTCACTAATAAATTTGTAAAAGATGAAATTACAACCAGTTGATTTATATCCAGTGTTTTTAAATTTTATATAAGAAATATAAAGTATGTAAAGGTGAAAGAATATGAATTTTCCTTTGATATATAGACAAGCACAATTCTTCATAATATTTATACATGCTCTTTTATGGCTTTTATGACTTTATATTTATGTATCATAAGTAAAAATAATTACAGTGGCTCCAAAATAAGCTATTTCACACCAAGGGCTTCATAACTAATAAATATAACTATCATATGGTGCATTTTAAAGGGGGACTTAAAGGGGAATTATAGGTCCAGGAAGTTTGCATCCCCAGCAAAGGAGAGAGAGAGGGAGATAAGGATTTATTCAGTAGGTAGACCACATCCCTACTCAAGGATAGAAATATAGAGAAAGTATGTAAGAGGCTAAGTCTGTGCAGGCTAGAAGCTCACATCTATGAATAAAGATGGAGGACTGCATGACACAGCTTGAAGCATATATCCATGTCCAAGGAAAAAGACCAGGGGTCATACAACCAGAAAGGTCATATGCAGTATATCCATATCTATAGAGAAGGAAATTGGCCATTCATACACTGCTGGGGGAATGTAAAATGGAAGAGACTCTCTGGAAAACAGTCTGGGCATTTCTTAAAGCACTACATTTTCAACCATTATACAACCCAGCAATCACAGTTCTAGGCTTATCCCAAAGAAATGAAAACCTGTGTTCTCACAAAAACATGTGAGCATATTCAAAGCAGCGCAACCTGTAATAGCCAAAAACTGGAGATAACCCCAATGACCTTTTCAAGTGCAAATGGCTAAACTGACTGTGGTACACCCATACCATAGAATAGTGCTCAGTAAATAAAAAGGGAACAGAGTATGACACCTCTATGCCACTGGGAAACTTACTAATGCAGAAAACAGGTGGTTAGGGCTTATGAGGGTTTATAAAGTGGACATACTAGATGAATCTCCAGAGAACCTGGATGAATCGCCAGAGCATGGTGTTGAGGGGGGAAAATCAACTCCCCAAGGTTATATACTATACAATTTCCATTTTATAGAATTTCCAACATGGCAGCATTCTGGAAACGGGGAACAGCTTGGCAGGTGCCAGGCATTAAGGGAATGGGGCAGGAGGGAGGCAATGTAGTGAGGAAAGGGCAATGGGAGGGATCCTTGCAGTGAGGAAAAGGCATGTATATTGAATATATTGAGGTCCTTACCCTGGTTGCGATACTGTATTAGTTTTCCAAGATGTTACCCAGTGGATAAACAGTACACAGGGATGGCCCTGTATTATTTCTTACAAGTGGGTGGGAATCCGCAGTGAGACAACAATAAATAGTTTTATTTCAAGAAAAAAAAATAGGCAGAGTCGAACCATTAGCATTTCCACAGGAACCGAGAGCTCGACCAATCACAGCTTGGGAATCGTGGCTACCGATTAGTCCCCAGCGGGGTTCTCCCCCGGAAAAATGGCATCTCTCTTCCAGTGGAGTCATTTTTCAAAAGCCACGAGTACACGAGATGGCTCAGAAGAACAAAGACAGCAAATAAAGAAATTCTCAAGTAGAGGTGGGAACACACACAGAAAGCAAGAGCCAGAAGAAGGCAGCACCCCAGATGTGGCAGTGGGCCCATTCAGCGAGATGCAGGTAAAACAAAGAGCAGGCAGCGGGCAGGACGCGCAGGCGCGATCCAAGTCGTCGCCCGCCGTCCAAGCCTGAGGTCCTTGGAAGCATGCGCACTGAGCGGGACACGCCCTGCGCCGGCCAGCGCGCGGGCTGCTGCTGGGGTTCTGCGCTTCCCCTCCACCAGGTGGAGCTTAGTCCCACACAAGAGCCTGCTACGGGGTTCAGAGGTCACGCACGCACCGCGCCAAAGTGAACACTGGCTGAGGAGGGGCTCTGCCGGCCGCCTCCTTTCCGTCGTCTCGTCGCTGCTGAGGCCCGCTCGCCAGGCCTAACGCCACCC